AGGAACAAATCTACATTTTTAACATTAATTTACAGGGTAATATACATTATGTGGTAACAGCTGAAATATCAGCACAAAGAGATCACTGTCACACTTAACAGCCAGATATATGTGATTATATAAATCCATATATAATCACATATACCAATACATAATTGTCATATATGCATGTAAAACAGTTATCCACGTCTCAGGCTTTTCAAATGATACCCAGAAAACTGTGTAACTGTGTATCAAGACATAAAAGCTTTACAAGTTTCTCTGTTGAAACAGTGACAGGCAGGGGCAAAGTGCCACGGCCTGCGGGTATTTTGAGGTCACAGGACAGGTATTTGCATATTCCACAAATCTATTGCAACACGTTACTGTCTACAAACAGTACAGCCAGCATCCTGCGAGAGGAGCCGGTGTTAGCTGGACTCACACGTACACCCACTGAACAGAACATTACAATGACGGGTGGTCTGATTATAACTATGTGCTTTCAGATGGTGTGCTATGACAGTGAACAACAGGAGGACTACATTACACAATACTCTATAAATTTAGCCTCAGAAGACAACCCAAAAATGTACTGTACTGTTAAGACTTAAATATTCTCTTTTCTCTGAGTTAAGAGTCATTGTATCTTGCTGCTGATGTGTTACATGTATTGGTGTTTTACCACAACTTACAACTTTATTTTGACACTCCACCTTCACCCCGAGTAATGGAATGTGTTCAGCTTTTCTCCTTTCCCTCCCTCTTACTCGGCCTCTCTCCATCAAGCCTGACCGCACAGTGAGTCCTACCAAATAAACAGAGTACTAGGGGCCTGAGAAGGTGCCAGGGGACTCCTTGAGGTTCAGATACACAATCTGGACCAGTAGGGAAGTTCTCTCTTCTTGCAGCTGATCCAAACCCCAGTGGCCATCATCTTCACCACCTCTCAAGGACAGAGGAGCTCTGATGGCCCCTTCATGGCTTCCTTCTCCTTATACCTCTGATACCATCTTGCCTCCCTGTCTTTCCATCACCATTTCCACTGCTTCACACACTCCCTCTACTCTGCAAAAACGCTGCACAAGGCTGGAACAAGATAAACACAAAGGTAATTTTTCACAAAGAAAAGAAGCTCCGTAATAACTGCAGTAGTAATGCACAACAAGCATCCGATAGGTGGCTTCCGGCCTGGGGGGCCCTGGTGATGTGCAGTTAGGATTGGGACACTGTTCTAAAGGAGGATGACTCCTCGGTATGCTCATCCCAGGACTTGTTTTTGTTCCCTGTGGTACAGTGTTTTGTTATTCAAAAGCCCAGACCTCTATGTCCTGCACATAGAAATCCTCCTTTTTTGATAGCATCGGGTTCCCAAATGTTTTACAGGAGTGACTCCTGCCGTGGTAAAGGTCTCCATCCAGCCACAGGCCAAACTCACCGCTACAAGAGAAGACGACAAGCAGCTGCAGTCAGGTTATGCCAAGTTACCAACAAGCCTGGGGCTGTCACAGGGTTCAGTTCAAAATGGATTTCCTCCTTTTTAATAGCATTGTTTTATTCAGCCAAACATCAAAGTGTATGAAGAGTGTATGAAGGTTCCATAACAGCTGCCTACATTACACGTCTTTTGTTCTAAATAAGCATTTTAGAAAACATGTGTCTGTGACATATGGTGACAGAGCAAAACAATAACTTATGCTGCTACAATAGTTCGATTTCTGTTGCACCATATCCATCAAAAGCATTGAGGGCTCACCTTCCTCCACCAAAAGCTAAGGAGTCCATATCTCCCTTGATAAAGAACATGTTGTCACCTGTCCATTTGTACACCTGTGGCAGACAAAACAGAGCCTTCATCAGATGATGTTGCATGACATATCCCTTAATGACAGAACCTAATATTCCAGTACTCTTTATACTGATGAGAACAGAACATGCTTGTTTACATCAGTTGGAGGAGCCAGATTTAACTGATAATTCAGTTACAACCGAATGAAATACCTCATCATCAGGTTGCTAGTCCCAGTTAAGGTCCTTATATGGTGTATTGCACCACACTCTAGTCTGATTTTACTATGTTAGGTAAATATACAGTTTGATTAAGAGCCTTTTCATAGGCATAGGATACAGGACATCGCTGTCTTCATCAGTGTGTTAAAGTGACAGCTTTCTGTCATTCAGACGCAGCAAATCTTTACTTTATCATTCAGACATACCCATTACCATGACAGAGAGAACCACGGTAATGCGATGTGCCATATTTGCCATATGTCCAGGATCATTGTAATTTTGTGTGCTTATCTGTTAATGTGCAAGCAGTTCAGACTTGTGCCATGTTGAGAGTGATGCGTCAATGCTACTAGGTCTGACATAGTAAGGTTGTGTTGTGACCAGACATGAAGCCGACTCGTCCGGATACCATCAGATTAATTGGAGGGAGTGCACGTCTGAAAGGGACCGTATACACATTTTGCCAGTCTTATCAAAAGTTTTTTTAGTTTGACACAACAGCATGCTGCTGGAAATGTGCATGTGTTCACATGTTGCCTTGGCCCCACTTTAACAAATGACAATATATTTCAAAGCAGTGTTGATTTTATTTAGGTCAGTTGTGTGCAGAAGAACTGTAAACGCAACAATGACATTGTTTTATGAAGCTAATATGGCTAATGTGTTAGCAAACAGCTGCCTCTTTACACATATAGCAAGAACACCACAGTCCTACCTGTATCTACACAGTGTTTTTGGCCAATGGACACAGTAAAGCCCAATATTCACTCTGCTTTTAGAAAGAAACATCTGGCTCTTCAGCTGCTAAATACTCTTAAGATCACCAGCTAGCTGCTAACTATGCCTGCCTTTTGGTGCTGGGCAGGTAGCGTACAGTGGCTTTATCAGAGCGTTTTTGCTGAAAACAGCTGCCAGCAGCTGGAAACAAAGTCGATGAGAGCTGCAAGAAGGAACCAAAACAGTAAAGTTGCAAGACATATAACCAAAACAAGCTAAAAGCTGAGTGGAAGGGTACTGCTGAGTCAGGATATACAGCAGTTCTCTGAGTTTGTCATTATAAGTGACGTATTTCACGTTATATAGCCATTTACTTCATTGTTAATATAAAAACCTTGGTTATTGCAGCTTTAAAGCCAAATATACACAAGATCTGCTAGATGTCCTCTAACCTTAACGTGCACTCTAGATTAACAAGCAAAGCAGCTCATTTTAATAACCAACAATCTGACATTTCACAAGAAACCAACATCTTCAAAATGTGGAGGACACTCACTTCAAACTCTGGCTTGAAGGTGAAGAGGAAGGTCTCTCCTGTGCCATAAAAGCCATCACTGACTTTAAAGGGCTCAGATGCTAACGCACCAAACACCTGGAGAGACAAAAGGAACTGTTCACTGAGTCCAGAGGGAACTTTTACATCAAAACGAGAGTTATTCAAAATGGTTAGTGCTGAAAATGTATGAGAAGCTGCCATCATATTACTGTATACAGCGTGTTCCCGCTGAATCTGCACCTTACCTGGCCATCACTGTCCTTAATGACCATAAGCACTGGGGTGTCCTGGCCCTGCATGGCTCTGTACAGCGTCTTAATACTCATGCCATGCTTTGCAGTGCCAAAGGCCAGCGTCCATGGGTACCCAATGGTTCGTGGTGGGAGATTCTTGGCAAGCTGGGGGGCGATGCAACAATGAAAAAAAGGAAAGGATGGAAGAAGAAATAAAGGAGAAGCAGCATGAAACAGAAAGGCCACAGCTACCAAAGCTCAATTACATCTGCAGTGACCTTTTAACATCATCTGGTGTTTAAAGAGGAGTAACAGGGCTCCCGACAAAGAGAGCAGCCTCCAGAGAAAGGGGGGTCCAGCCCGCTGCCGACAGACTGAAGGATTAGCAGTGGCTGCGGTGCATGGGGAGATAAAGCCTGGAGCAGTCCACTGTATGCCTCATTTTAATGGTCAGATAAAAGAGACACTGACTGAAACATAAAATTAAAGGAAGAACTTTTTCCGGTATACAGCATTGATTTCTGCTGTATAGTACAAAGGGCTTCAAATGTCCTGCTCGCCCTCCAATGATTCATCAGTTCCTCTGCTCTTTTCTTGTTGGTTCAGCACATCCTCCAGTGATGGAGCCAAGCCTGGGCTCTAAGCTCCATCCTCAGGGTGATTAAAGGAAGCCCCATACTCCCAATCTATTGGTTAGTATAACTTCTGAGAATATTCTGGAGCAGTGTGTGTGTGTGTGTGTGTGTGTGTAAACTTGTAATGCCTGTAAAGCATACACCAAATATCAATCAACCTCAAAGGTCAGCTCCTCAGAAATGTTTGTTTCAAGTTGTGTCTCGCAGCAGCTAGTCTGTAAAAGTGATATGTATCTGTGCAGTGCAGTTCAGTTGTCTGGATGAGCCTGGGCCACTCGCTTGTATAAAGTGTCTGTGGAGATGATAAATGATTATAAATAATATCTAATCAATAATTCAGTATAAGTGGTGATATGGTTACAGGAAACACATAACGGTTGAGATAAAGTACAACCTGTTAGGCAAAGTCAGATAAGTTATTTGTGTTAAGGACTTGTCGTGAAGCTCTGTGGTGTAGCCATTTAACTGAAGCTTGCATCACATGGTCACCTGTTTGTGAAGGAAGATTACAGGACCCTGTGTGCAAACTGAACTATGTATTCCAATAATCTGAGTGCAGCCCACTACAATACTTTGGGGAGAAAAACAAGCCATATGGTTTCCTCAATGTTTAAAACCAATGTATGATTATTGTATCAAGACATTTTAAGGTCATATGCAACTCCTGGTAGTGTGTTGGTCTAAGTTTAGTCTTAGAGTAGGACAGCTGACTGGTGTTGGCCCTGCTCATCACAGGTTGCTGTGGGACACAGGGGAAAAAACAAGAAGGTTTATTTGAGTCCTGTGTAGATGTTCTCTGCTGTAATTATGAGTCATAAACAAAGTACAAGTTACTGCCTGTAGCTCAGCAGAGACCAAACTACCAACCACAGTTTCCATTCATGATGAAAGGAGTTATCAGGTTATCTACATGCTGACAATTCCTTCAGTCCATTCTATTGTTTCTGTAGCGCTCTACCCACCTGCTGGGTAGACAGATGTGTATCAACATACACCAGTGAAAATATATTTGCTTCCTATGCAAAATGCTGAGAAATACCTTCCAAGGGAGCTCCAGGAAGGTGCTTGATTTACATGCATCACATCTGAAAGTGAAATCACCAGTCAGACCTGACTTTCTGCATGTTAGCTTTCAGGCCTGCCACATGGTGACCAAGTTCACAGAAATGGGGCCGGGCTATGAAGCACCTGTAGTCCAGGGGCCAACCACATTACTGCAACTTCTGCATTCACAAACACTGAGAAAGGTGCACTATAAAAGCAGTGAACAAATGTTTCCAAGCATCACAAGCTGACCAATGAGAATTTGACCCATTAGGCCCAATATTGTTGTAAAGTCTAGGGCTGGACACAAATATTTGACTATTCGGATATTTGTTTGCTGGATAGGTCATTGTTTTTTAATTTTAGTATATAAATATTCAAGACAGCAGGCAATTTCAACGCAGTCTGAGTCCGATGTTGAAGAGGAAATAGAATACAATGGAGACAGCGTGGTTTGCTAGCTGGTACTTACTAGGAATGACATTACACCGGGGAGCCGGCATCAAGATTTAAATCTTCCACCCCCAGAAACAGCAACTGTTTCTGGTTAAAATGACAACCAGCGGGGTCATATCAGCTGTCGCTAACTAACGTTGATTATGTGACTTAAATTGATTAGAGGAGAAAATGAAAGTTGCTGTTGTTGGGTTTGTGACCTCAATGCAGCCGGCGGGGACGCAGACAACACGCTGTCTGCTGTTAGGTGAAGATGGGTTATGAGGTAAAGAGGCATCACTCTCCAACACCACTGAATAATCAGAGTGAGCTGAGGGCTTCTCTATCATTCCAGCAAGTCCAACAGAACGTGACATCTTCACAGGTTGACCTCACATCATTGATGGAAATGTAGCACGTTCTGCGGGCTTGTGTACATGCAAATGCTTATGAAGATCTGCTGCCAGTCATCTCTCACAGTATACTACGTAAGAACTTTCATTAGTTTTTTTGTTTTTACCCAAAGTACTGCCAGATGGGTGAAGAGGTCATTTTAGCTACAGCACAATCTCAGTTGAGAACGGAAATGGAAGCATACGCATTCTGTTTAAATCTAAAAGGACCACAGCATTACGTCATTTTATCCCACTCCGAGTCATTCCCAGTAGGAAGTCAGCTGATGCAGCACTGGTGCGCATGCTCTATGGGCCAAAAATGCAGTGGAGTGCACAACTTCTGGGTCATATTTATGGATAGAATTTGAAAGGAATGAGACGTTTTTCCATAGTAGGTGCGACTGGACAACTTTTGTTAAAATGAATTGAATGAATTGAATTGAATGTCTTTACTGGCCACTGGTTCTCAGCCACCAGCCCATTAACCCCCACTGAAAATGCTAATTCTTAAAACCAGGTGACAAATATATTTGTATAATTCATTTTAATATTTTAAGGCTCAGTAGTTTCCTAAAGTTGTCATGGCAGCTGTTTTACTTAAATGTTACTGAAACTAGAGGAAACTGTAAATGTTTTATAATATATTCAGTAGTGGATGAATGCATATTTGGTGCATCAAAGTGTATTTATGCCAACAAATATGTGTACTCTGTGTGGGACTGAGTCAAAAGTGCCAATGTTCTGTGGAATAAATGAACATGTCACTCAGTGCAACAGCATCTAATTGTGTTGACATGGAATGATTTGACCGTAAGAAAAGTGAAGAACATTGCCAGTTTAACCCTTTAACATGTGATTAACATAGTTACCATTAACTGGTATTTGGCATGAATACATCCCAACAGGTCTGTACCTTCTCTATCTGGTCGGCCTCCAGGAGGTCACTGGGTTCTTTGAGGTTGGGTTTGAATGTTTCTGGCTCCAGCTCTGTCTTGATGGACATGCCATGTTTGGAGTTCACCTCTTCCTTGGTTGTGATCTACAAATACAAACAAACATCAGATATGCACTGCACACTAAGAAGAAGTGCTTTAACTTGAGCTTTCAAAAAGCACTGATAGTGGATGGGTTCAATTATAGCTACTGTCATCGATCTACAATTTTGATTTGCATCAACTAATGATACAACAGGTCAAACCAGTTGGGTGATCTACAGCTGTAACCACTGACAAGATGAAACCTATAATAGCTTAGGATGGACTGGAATGGATCAAAAATGCAGAGGTAAATAATGGATTGTGCAGGTCTGGAATAAATGCTGGTTGATAGGAGTAACATTGGGAAACTAGGCTTGAGCCATAACCTAACCGCAGCAACTAAAACTCAGTTTTCAGCATTTGTCCGTTCTGATGGCTGAATATTTTCCTGACACTCCCACCAATGCCAGATGATAGAACTGATCCGGCAGAAACACTGTCTGGGAGAGGAGTGAATAGGAAATCAAGCCAGTGAATTGTTCACACTCCTCTGTGACATGTTCTCTGACCAACAGAGTGTTTGGGTTATTTATCTTTCTTGATAACAGAGGCTGATTGAAGAGAGCTTTGCCACTGGTGGCTGGGGTGCTCTCATCTTTCAGTTAGTCCCTATCTGCATTGTCCCCAGAAACATCATTCACTCTGTCAAGGACATGCTACTTCCACCCTCTCACTACTCTGTCTCTTGCTCAGTTGTCACACAGGCCACATTCTCTGCATTCAGCTCATTTGTTAATCAAAAGCAGCTTTTTAAAATGTTCTGCATAGCAATTTCTCTGCTGTATTTCTCTTAGAAATATAGTATTTCTGTATATCCAGCACAAATAGCTATAGTCACTAGCTAATAACCGGAACTTGATGTCAACATCATGAAAGTGGGTCTAAAATGAGCAGCCTGTCACATGGAGATAAGTCTACTGTCACATGAACTCCTCATCATTCCAAACAAGCCAAAATCTCTGTCATGAACTGATAACAGATGGTGGTAAAATGCTTGAGACAGTATTCACAGTTTAGCATGTATAAAAAGTTCTGAATAGGTGTGTGACTTCAAACACTCATGAAACCTTCTCAAAACTTAATTTAAAGAATTGTGGAAATGTGGTTTAGATGACAGTATGCAACAGCAGCAGCTGATGCTGCCAAAGCCTGCACTATGGAGCCTAAAGCAGACCGTGATGGTGCAGGCATAACAGAGGGAGGGGGGCAGACATGGCTGATCAGGGCACCTGGAGACGTTTGCAGAGCGAGCGCAGATCTTCACTGTTTAGAGCATCAATCCGACGGCGGTACTCTGTCAGAGACACTACCTGGTAGTATAAAGACAGGAACAGGTGGAACATAAAACTCTGCCAGATCTATTGCTGGCCACGAGGAGGAAAGGATGAGTTTTGAAATGCTGGAAGTTTTGGAGTTTAGTTTAGGTAAAAGATAAGGCCACAGGGGATTTCAGAGCACCTAGTCATTTTGCATGTTTGTGTAATATGTTTAATATTACCGCAACCAGACTCGGTGGTTGTATATACTGTAAACTGTTTGGCAAACCTGCTGCTATAACTAAATACAGCATTTTGTTTTAGGCGTATTTAGTGTGAACATAATGCCAAGTTAGACCAAAGAGACCAAAACTGCAACACATGCCAGATCAAAACCGCTCTCTGTTTGTCAGGAACAGCAATACACAAAACTAAAACGACTGCAACCCAGACAGTCCAATTCAATGGCCTAGGAAACATGGCTCTATTCCACAAATAGTTCCACCCCACGCTGCATCCTCCACCAGAGCTGCTGCCTCTGGTCTGCTCCTGAATGAACGTTGGCGTTTAATAGTTCAATGTCTCGTTTGTCTTGTGCACAAGACAAACAGCAAACTCACAAAAACCACACACACAGACATATGAATAGTCAGACTGACACAGTTCACCTTTCAGTAATTATTAAATCTTCAAACTGTGTTTTATCAAACACCATCAGTGCAGTGAAGTTGTGCTGCTGGTTGTTTAACTCACCTTGTTGCTAATGGTATAAATAATGTTTGTGGTAACCCAGCTCAATAATGAAACAGAAACAGTAACAACATGCTCCATAAAAATGCATCAGTGCGTCAGTGAAGGTACTTTAGTACCTTTGTACGGATAAGCTAGCATCGTGCTAGTCTGCGGCTCAAACACTCTTCATTGTCAATCCAATGCCTTTCATCAGAAGAGATTAATGTCATGACAAAGGTCAGCATTTGGATGTGACCACTGAGTTAAATAAGGTGTCATAAAGCACAAGTGGCTCATTACCAGTCATGTAACAAGCTATACGCTAAGCTCAACACGACAATGTAATGTTACCTTAAATTTCTTTTTAAAAATGTCTGGTAATGTAACGTTAAAGAAACAGGTATACTACTGTGGGGCTGCATCTTTTTTCAATGCAAGCTGGGTCTGAAAACTTCGAGGCAGCTCACAGAACATCACAACACAGTGCCAAGGGTCAGACAACAGACGGGAGTACTATCCTGACAGACACTGGCTACACAGTGGCCACGTTGTTTAGCACCAGTCACAGGACTAGACCGGACCGAGTAAAGGGCTAGCAGGCTAGTTAGCTTTGCTAGCGCGTTAGCATGACTTGCTAACAACAACAATAAGACAATAAGACAAGATAAATATACACAGCGGGAGAATGAAAACATGAACTTGACACATACACATGTATACTTAGGGGTCAGTCGTTTCTCTTGATCATTCACCCTCCTAAAAAACATGTCTTGCTTTCTGGGCGAAGTTGAGGCTGGAAAGGCACATTACAGATCCCTTAAGTTCTGCCCATGTAGCCCGACACAAGCAGGTGTTAGTAGGAAGCCTGGCAGGGCGCTTGGACAAAACAAAAACATTTGTGTTTCCATTGGGGTGGCTACACCGTATGAGTTGTGTGGCATCGCTAAAAACCAATAATAATACGGGACAGGAGGAAACCCAGCTCTTACTGGCTAAAAAATGTCGAGCCCGCCTCCAAAACCGACATCATTTAAAGATACAGTAACATCACTATCGCAAGAGATATACAATATTTTTGGAGACTATTTACAGATAATTAACCTGAGTAACAAAATAAGATGGGGGAAAATTTAAGACGTAAACAGATAAAAAAAAAAAACACACAAAAAACAGGGAACTTAAATTTGCTTTTCATGTCAATTTAGTCAGTACTTTTGTCAAACAAAACTCTATTTGTTAGACAAAGTTCTTAGTAAAACATATCGTCATGAAATCTCCATAAAGATGTTAGTTACACTCATCTATGGGCAACAGTAAACTCTAGAGCAGCAGATTCCAAATTTACATATTCAAATGTAATGAATCATCTAGCCTCTGTTCGCTAGAAGTCTGAGGACATGTGCCAAAAAATTAGAATATCGAGGGAAAGTCCATTTATTTCAATAATTTGTTTCAAAAAGTGAAACTTGTATGTTATAATAGTTCACTGCACACAAAGTGAAATATTTCAAGCCTTTATTTGTTTCAATTTAGATGATTATGGATTAAAGACAAAAAACCCCAAATCCAGTATTTCACAAAATTAGAATATCATGACAAAGTTCAACATTGTAGGCTCCCTGTGTCCCAGTCTAGTCAGCTAATTAATGCAAAACACCTGCAAAGGTTTTCTCAGCCTTAAAATTGTCTCAGTCTGGCTTAGTAGGCTTCAGAATCATGGGGAAGACTGCTGACTTGACGGTTGTGCAGACGACCATCATTGACACCCTCCATAAGGAGGAAAAGTCTCAAAAGGCAATTGCAAAAGAAGCTGGATGCTCACAGAGCACAGTATCAAAGTATATTAACAGAGTGTTAAGAAGAAGGGAAGAATGTGGCCGGAAAAAGTGCAAAAGTGACAGGGATGACCGCAGCCTTGAGAGGATTGTCAAGCAAGGGCGATTCAGAAATCTGGGGGAGCTTCATAAGGAGTGGACTGAGGCTGGTGTCAGTGCATCAAGAACCACCACATACAGACGTCT